AAGCAGCAACGTTATTAGAATTTTATAAGGAGCCTCCTAGGTGTAGGGGTTAATATTGTAGCCTAGATAATATTAAATATAGAGGCAGTTAGGTCTAGAGAGGCCTTTCTAGATTAGTAGGCAATTATTATTAGGTAGAAGAGGTAGTATTATAAGGCAAAGAAGTAGTTTAAATAAGTAATAATAGCCTACACAACCCTAGTAGCGCACGTATTCTAGATAGATAATTTAGGTCCTAATCTAATAAACTTATAACTTATCTACTCTTAGTAGGAGGGACGTAATATAGTGGACGAAATAGGGCTTACTATACTATAGCGGGAGACGTTCTAGTACTATCTTATAGATATATAAAAGAGTAGGATTAAGAGCTTTATAGAGGAGATATAGTAAAGATAGAAGCTAGACATCCTCTATAAAGAATATCTTTCTCTTAAGAAGATAATTTATAGCATAGCCTGTAGTATAGGTGTAAGGGCTATAGGATATAGATCTATAGTAAAGAACTACCTCTTTAAGGTTATATACGCGTCTAATAATAGTTATATACCTAATAAGAGAGATAACCTAGAACTATATAAGCTATTTAGGGGTTTACTAGATTAGGGTAAGAAGTAGAATACTATAAAGAAACGCTTTAGTATAGTTAGGATCTTTAGGCTTCTTCTAAAGAGTATTAGAGTAAACGTCTAGTTTAAATAGGTAACCTAGACACAAGTCACGTAGTAGTTAAAGATAGTAGTAGAGTATAATAAGGATATAATATCCCTAGCGCAACGTATTAAGCTACTTTTTATAGCATTTATTAAGGAGCGTCTACTACTATAAGAGTTTCTCTTCTTAGAGCAGGTTAATTAGTATCTAGGGGAGCAACTACTACTAATGCTTAATAGGTATATATATATTAAGATAATTTACTCTAAAGCTAATAGTTATATAGTTGCTAGGGCACCCCCCCTATAATAAGGAGAGTAGAGGAGGTACAAGTTAACGAAGACAAGGCCCTTAAATTAACTATTAAGGGGGCGTTTAGGGCTAAGACTGCCTTAGAGATAGGCACTATGTATAGTAGCATTACTATCCTATAGTTAAGTATATAGATAGTAGTTATTATTAATATATATAATTAGTTATACAAGTGCAGGTATAGTAAGGTATAGGAGGGGGATATTTTAGTAAGGGCAATAGGGTATATTTACAATATAGCTACTAACCCTATTACCCTTAAGTAAACCCTCTATCTATATTAAGACCTCTATATTACTCTATTAGTAATAGAAATAATTTTAATAAATACTGCACCCTTAAATAATAGTCTATACAAGAAGAATTCTTTACTAAAGGTAGGACTTTTATAAGGAAATAGGTAGTAGGGGTTATAGGAGATAGGTTTTAGGTCTAGGTTTGTAGAAAATAGGTTTTAGGTCTAGGTTTACAGGAAATAGGTTTTAGGTCTAGGTTTACAGGAAATAGGTTTTAGGCAGGGGTTGCAGGAAACAGGTTTTAGGTAGTAGGGGTTGTAGGAAATAGGTTTTAGGTTTAGGTTTGCAGGAAACAGGTTTTAGGTCTAGGTTTACAGGAAATAGGTTTTAGGTCTAGGTTTGCAGGAAACAGGTTTTAGGTCTAGGTTTGCAGGAAACAGGTTTTAGGTCTAGGTTTACAGGAAACAGGTTTTAGGTCTAGGTTTACAGGAAACAGGTTTTAGGCAGGGGTCGCAGGAAACAGGTTTTAGGTAGTAGGGGTCGCAGGAAACGGGTTTTAGGTTTTAATTTTCCTTGCACAGTTATTTCCTGCAAGACGCTAGTAGCGCACAGTCCTCTTTAGAGTCGTTTCCTAGCAGGAAACGACTTTCCTACAATATGTAGATAGTAGGTTATGTAGGGGTATTAATTAGGATTAATTAGATTAAGATGCTCTGTGATCTAGTTAATATCCCTCCTGCAACAATTTAGGTTAAAGTAACAGTCTCTATAGTAGCTAATTATTATGTAAGGATCTTCTAGGATAACTAGTAGTAGTTCTAGGGCTTCCTATCCTCTATTATTACTAACTAAGGCTTAGACTAGTTAGTATCTTTCTAGATAACGTTATGCTAGATAATAATAATAAACCAGTTACTGTCTACTATATACCACCCCTAGATAGATGGTAGGATAGAGTAGGTAAACTAAGAAGTGCAGGTAGTGCTGCGTATAATAGTATGCTTTAAGCAGACTAACTAGTCTAACTACCTACTAGCCTACTAACTTGCACTTAATAATAGGGACTCTAGTATAACTAGTATTAGCCCTAATCTACTTTTAAATAGGTATACTATAGATATACTATAAAAAATAGTGTTACTACTAGTATAGCCTAAGAATCCTTGTAGGGAGGCTATTACGTTCTTATTACACCTATAGAGGGGTGTAGAACTAGTATAAGCTACTATTATATTCTAATAGTAATAATAATAGGAAGTAATAAACTAGTCCTAACGCCTAGCTAAAAAGTTCCTAAAAGGTAATATAGTTTAGTTTATAATATATAATATAAAGATAAACTAACTAAGTAAAAGGTTTAACTAGCTATAAGGAAAGTATAAAGTAATAGAAGTCCCTACTCTACTTATAGTAGTATTAGACTTACTAGGGAACTTATATAAGACTGTATATATAGATCTACTAGAGAGAGCTACTAATAACCTACTACTAAGCTAGAAGCTTTAGGACTTATAACTAGGCCTAATAGTTACTCTAGAAAATAAAGATATAATACTAGATAAATAGGAAGTAGAAGAGATCCTTTGTATAAAGAATATAAGGGGAAAAGGGAAGTATTAAGTCCTAGTAAAATAGAAGGGGTATATTAATATAATATAGCACCTGCTAGAGGTAGTGTAGGATACTAAGGCTCTTAATAGATTTAAGGAATAGTATAGGGATATTACTTAAAATAATAGGCTAATACGTATAAAAGCTAGGAAATAAGAGTAGAATAAGACTAGAATAATAACTTAGACCTTTATTATAATTAAGAAGCAAGAGGGTACTAGAGATAGGTTATATTTGATCCTAATAATACCTAGGGTAAGTATCCTACTAGTAAAACTTTATAATATAGCTAATAATTAGGTAGTAGTATCTATACTATTACTATCTATAACTAACCCCCCCTTAGCCCCCCCTAGACTATTATCTATATTGTTCTAACGCCTCTATGTTTTATAGTAATAGTAGTAACGCTTACGCGCAGCGTAGGTAGGGGAAGACTTAGTTAATAAGTATAAATAGTAGTAGTAGTAGGATAAGGGTAGTGCTTCAATAGCCTACTAATATATAGTACCCTAGGACTAAAGAAAATAAATATTAGAATATATATAAAGGGAATAAAGGAAAATTAATACTAATAATAAGAGTCTTAATACTATAGGTAGTGCGCTTAGCAGCGCTCTTAAGCTTATTAATATAAAGGTTAGTTTAGGCCTAGGTCTTATTTATACGCTAGTTAATGTGCTAGAAGGTAACACTAGTAGTAGTAGCAAGCTATATAATATTATTATTACTATAACTACTACGTAAAGGCGTAATAGTAGACTAAAGGAGAAATACTAGAGCACTAGTAGTAGATAGAATAATAGCACTAAGCTAATACTAATTATAGGCGCGTAAGTAGGTAGTAGGGGCAAGTAGAGTAATAGTATTATTAGTTTAAGCCCTTAATATAAGATCCTTAAAATAATAGTAGAGTTAGTAGAACTATAGTATAAACTAGTAATAGGTGCCTTTAGTAGGTTTCCCTATAAAAGTGCTAAGGGTCCCCTTCTTTATAATATAGAGGCAATCCTCCTAGTAACTATAATAAAACTAAAGCTAGTTATAAAGGGCTTAGCAAATATTAGGATTATTAGTAAGGATAGCTTCTAATTAAGTATAAGTCTTATAGCTATAATAGCAGGACATATATAAGCGCCGTAGATATAGTTAGAACTTGCTATAAAGAAAATAAAAATTAAGGGGAACTTACTACTACCTTCTTAATAGTTACACTTGCTAAAAAGATAAAGCTAGTTAATATACTAATTATAGGGAAGCGGCTTTATAAAGCTACTATTATATTCTTTATTATCTAAGTTACTAGAAATAATAAAGCTACTAAGTAACTATATTTAAGGAGATATATACTAAGCAAAAGTTAGTACAGGAAATATAGGGAGAATATTAGAAGTACGCACCTTATCTTAGTAGGCCTAGTGCAGGGTCTAACTACCTTATAGTAGATCCCTACTACTAGCACTAGTAGTAGTAGACAAGGATATAATAGAGGCTAGATAGGCAGGATTAATAGAGAAAGAGTAGAGAGAGGGCTAATTAGTAGGCAAAATCTATTATATAATAAAGTAAGTTTAGGAAATTTAAAATAGGATAGGATAGCTATATTAGAACTTTTATAGTAGAGTGCTAAAATAAGCGTATAGACGCTATAGGCGCGTACTACTTAATATATAGGCCTATTATAAATTAAGAAGCAATATAAAGATATAATAATAAAACCTAAAAATATATAGTAATAAAGCCTAATATAGATTATAGAGGACAAAGATATAACCCTAGACCCCTAGAAAGACGATTTTATAATAGTTTATAGGGGAAGGTTAGGGGTATATAAAGGGCTTAGGCTTATACATAAGCCTAGGCCTAACATAAAGATAGATAGAGTCTAACACTACTACTAAGTAAACACGCTACACACCTATGAAAAGGCGTAGAGGGCTTACCTCTCCTTTAAGATACTAAATACTATTATTAACGCTTATTGCATTCTCCCTTGAGGCCAGTCTATAACAATAGCTGCATTCACCGAAGCTACAGAGACATGGGGGGGCACCAAGGTACCGGATCAGACAGCATACCGTACAACATTTCCGCCAAAACAGATTTGCCTTTCTTCAATCATCTCAAGCCCTGTCCAGATATTAGGACTGAATTCGATTCTGATATGAAAAGTCAATTGTAGTAAACATGGGTGCCAAAGTGGAACATTTACTGAATGGATTTAACTAGGATTCTCTGGAAGAGGGAGCCACCGTAATCGATGTAAGTATTCTATCACATAACCTCAAGCAAGAGTGGACTGCAACCGCTGACTTTCCTCGACAGGTTGGCGGAGACAGTTGTGCCACAGCGGCTACGCTGGCAACAGCATATCCTATGCTCCGTGTCGTCATCCAAGATTTGCCCGCTACCATTATTAACGCCAAAGAGTATGTCGAAACACTTCCCAAAAGCATTTCAGAAGGATCGATCTGCAAAAGCATAACATGTTCAAAGAGCAACCGGTCAAGGGCGCTGAGATATATCTTTTGAGAACCATTATCCACGATTGGCCAGATGAAGAGGCGATATCCATCCTTCGCCGTCTAGTAGCTGCAATGGAACCTCATAGTCACCTTGTAATCATGGATGTGGTCCTTCCAGTTCCAGAAATCGAGTCCCCGCACTAAGATGCCGTACTGAGGCACAAGGACTTGGCTATGATACAAACGTTCAATGCAAAATAACGGGAAATGGAGCAGTGGCTTGACCTCATTGGAGCGGTGGATCCTCGAATTCATCTATGTGAAATTCGACGACCAGAAGATTGCCAGCATTCAGTTCTTAATATCACATTTCGTGAAAGTCCAACCACGGTCTAGAAGCATTAGGTATTCGCAAAGCAACACATTTCCTGAGAAGAATTCATACCTTTCTCGTGGTGTTCCAAGATCAGCAAGGTTTTCTCCGGGCAGTAATTGATTGAATCAAGCACTGATTGCTCATTCGATGTATCATAACTGATTTGGTTCTCGCATATCTACCTAGCATTGGTCCTGACAGAATGTTGAAGTTCAGGATCCGAAGCTGGGCCAAATGCGAATGTGTAAAGAGACGCTCGGTTTTCCTTCTTGCTCTTCAGGTTCACATCATCCACTCGCGTTGCATTTACTACGGAAGCAGCGCGACGATAAGAAAACATGTATCTAGGGTTTTCGGAAGAACGCAGCCGACAATGGTTGAGCAGGAGCTTATGGGAAATATTTGGTTATCGGCCCAATTGTACTTTGTCGCGATAGCTCAGACACATAGGTGGCTTATTCTACTGGCGGACCTTCTGATCAGCAGATGCACTTTTCGATCAGTCACAAGACTCACACGTCGCTGTGACAGACATGTAGTATGTGAGGGTTGCCCGCTGAAACAAGAACAAATCTCGCGAGAATCACCCGCCAGGAGTGAAAGTCGTACACCGAAACCAAATGCCCAAATGCTTACCGCCGAGTCAAAACTCCTGCTGCGCACACCCCGCATCGCCCAATGCCATCAGGATCGACGTTCGTGATCTCTATTGTGCCTTTGAAGTCATGCAGTCCCCCATCGCGATGCTTGGATACTGCCTATTTAGTCTTAGCTACTATAGTCATGTCAGTTGTCTGACCATGGATGATCTGCGGGGAGGATGAGTGGTCAGAGCGTGCATTGTGGGGAGATAGTACCGTGTCGTTCGCAGGTACCGGTAAGCGTCTGCTTGGCCACGAACTCTATCATCATCAACCTCCAAGGGTTGAACCAAGTTCTGAATGCTGGAATGTAGTGCAATACTCATCGAGCCTGCAGTATGTATTATTCATATCAAAATGAAGGGCCGAGAAGCCGGCTAACAGTCCGCTATAAGATGACAATCATTTCCTGTGAGTTTGGTTGAAGCATACCGATAGGTAAGCTACCTAGGTATGGCGCGGTAAGGTGATCTCAATTCCTTACCGGTAATAAATCTTAAGTGTTCTCACTATCCTCTAGGTAGTCATAGTTCCTCTGAAGGACATGAGCGCCGCTACTGTTTCAATTACTGATATTTATGGGTCAGTACGTCGTATCTAAAGTGTGATGTTCGAAATTACGGTCCAGACAGCCACGCAATTGGCTGGCTGACTAACCCGTACATTCATCTTCCCATTTGTTGCTCTTTGTCTGGTCGGCCCTTCTTCCCCTCTTTCTTGCACGCTATGTCCTATAGCAGAAATAGTCTCGCTGCTAATCCCCTCAGGACTCCTAGGCCGCAAAGACCGGTGTGGCCCTTGGCGGAATATCATGCGTTATTCAGCCCTCACCTTTCCTCCTGTCACTCCCGCGCCTCGTCCAACTAACACCGCCTCGACCCTCCAACATCCTGACCACAGGGCTGGGACTCCTCAGGATCCGCTGATTGGCGAAGTGGAGCTCACAGAAAGAACGTTTTGTTTTTGACGCTGGTATGAAGTTAAAGCAGAGTACCGTTTGTCACACCTGCAGAGCCCATAAGATAGGGGTAAGCGTCCGGGCATCTACTCACACCTAAGACATTTATGTCAGTCTGTCTGACTGCTGCCTCTAGTGTGACGGAAAGCTACCGACCTGCTCACAGTGCTGCCTGACTGGGCGTGAGTGCGGAGGCTACAAGCTTGACCCAGTTTTTATTCCGTACAAGGTGACCACACTGCAAAAGTCTTCCAGAAAGGGTCGAACCAACAAACGGTCTTCTGAGGCTGCTGCTTCTACTACCGGCTCAAAAACGCGCAATGTAGAGCGTACCGTTGCCGGACAACCTCCACCATCTCAAATCTGTCGACCCGTTGACTCTGCAACGCCTCAAGAGTTCACAGCCGTGGTTCTTAGCTGCTTCATTCCTAAGTATCAACAAGGTCCCCCAACATTCGATCTCAGTACGAGCCAAGTCTGTGGAGCATGGGTGGGCATACTGCCGGGCCTGGTTGCTCGTGTGGGCTCAGGCTCGAGGAAGCTGCTCTACCTAGCGACTCAAGCTTTCGCTGCGTCAATACTCGACAGTAGCACACAAGCAAAAAGCAAAAGCTTCCACAGCCAAGAAGCTTACCACAACACACTGCAGAGGCTAAACAAAGAGCTGGTGTCGATGAAGAGCTTCTTCAGTGTAGAGACCGCAGCTGCTATTGTGTGCCTAGCAATGGTAGAGGTACGCGTGTATCACCCAGCTTGAACGATACCCGCTAACCACTCGACTTCACCAGTTGATGCTCCCGATCTCGGACAACGGTATACATGCACATACGGGAGGCCTTGGCGCGCTGATCAACTTGTCGCCCCCTGACCTGTTCAGCCGCAAAGAGTTCCATGCCATTTTCATTGGCTGCAGACCTGTGCTGGTAAGTAGTAACATCGGACTTAGACTTCGCACACCCACCTAACGATTGCGCTAGCTATTCCAAGCTCTGGCTGCACGGAAATCCACGTTTCTTGCTCAAGAGAATTGGTTGAGAATCCCATTCCGGCACCATCCGCCGTCCGCAATACAAGCTCTCATCAGTGATGGCGCCGTTATTCCATCCATCATGGAAGCAATCGATATTTTGCCAACCCTACCTTGGTATGCGGCAGTCATGAAAGCACACCAGTTGAAAGCCAAGCTAGAAATGGTCTTGGGGCGTCTATCAAGATGGAATGACCGATTCGGAAGAGACATAAGTGAATCCCCTGGTCCCATTCTAAAAGCCGACAGTCCACAAGCTTTCGAAAATGGAGCCAGGTCTTTTTGGTTCCCTAGCCTGGTCGCAGCGAATGTACACACTCATATGTGGGCATTCGAAATCGTCTCCCTGGTCGAGCTTGACAAGCTGACGCCTTATTTGCCGGGTGAAAAAGATGTCGTATCTACGCCAGACCAGGATGAGGAACCACCATTTGCACGAATCACTACACTTGCGTCCAAGATCTGTCAATGTATGGAGTATCTACTTCAAGAAGACTTGAAGCTGTTTGGCCCAGCTGCCGCGCTTTTCCCTCTGAATATCGCGTACGAAGTGCTGAGCAAGGATGAAGAGGGGAATAAGCAACTGATCGCTCGCTGTTGGCAGTATTTCGATCTAATACGGCACAGAGGAATCTCAAGCAAGGCGATCTTTCCCCCCTCGTATAGGGATGTCTGTATTGATACCTGAGTGTCAAATTATGGTGTGGTGTTAGAGTCATGTACCGGAATTAGCGTTATTATCAACAAGTTCATGCAGTTATTGATCTCATGTTAACTGCACAGTCATGGCGAAAGGGAAACGCATCCTCCTCAGATGCCATGCAGACTTAAGTCTGCGTGTTGTATTCAAGTATGCGTAAGCGCGCTGACGCCAAGCGCTCGCCTTACTTCCCATGGATCAATTTTCTTCTGCAATAGCAAGTACCTTTTCCTTTTCCATGAGTATGTAATCTAATTAGGACCACAATCTGAATAGCTGTCCTTGTTGGATAATGCGTGAAGCCACTGGCTTTGAGCTGGCCTTAAGCGTCGATCTGATCATGAAAGTCGTGAACTAACATGCGCACGTATGGACGGTGAGCCACGTGAGCCATGACGACCATGTAACTGACTATGAATCTAACGGGACTTGAAAGAAGGACATTTGATAACACTGATATTTCGATTGGGTTACTTACATCTCTGCAGTTATTATGTAAGTACATCAATACCCAACTACTCTATCGAAGCCACCTTTCATTGTCACATACATTTGACTACTCTAGAGACCGAAGTCACCATCGACAAAAGAACCGTGAGGTCCAAGAGCATAAACTTGGGGCATATCGGCCCTGGCAACCTCCTCAAATGTCTTACCATCAAGACCAACAAGAATACTGTGGGTACCCTCCTTGTTGATGAGGATTGAGATGACGATACCATCGTCCTCCTCCGTTGCACCAGGGCGCTGGATGAAGATGGGCTCAGTAGGGCAACTCTCTCCATTTTGAGGGATCCACTGCTTGAATGTGCCCGTCTTCCAGTCGGACTTGAAAAGATATCCGTAAAAGGATGCGTGGACAATTCCTAGACCGTTGCTGTAACGGGCAATGGGAACATCGGTACCAGGAGCGGGGATACCGTTGCCGGACACACCGTAGACGTAACGGTAATTGGGGTCCATGGATGCGGGCTTAGAGACACGTGGAAGCTCGGCAGCCATGCCAGGAATGGCGGCCTTTACTGTAGCGCGGCTCATGACATTGGGATCGGCCTTATTCACAGCGGCCATCTCGTAGCGAACCAAATTTCCGATCTGATATGGCCTTAGGGGGTCGAGGATATTGGCGAGACCATACTCGGCATATGGGTAATGCTCGTCCTTGTAGCTGCAGATGTCAACATGAACCATCTCATCGCCAGTCTTGGGATCAATGTAGTCGTATCCGTTGGCAATGTGGAAGAAGTAAAAGTTCTTGGTCTCGTATTTGGCGACACTGTTCTGGTCAGCTTCATGACAGGGAATGGTTCAAGACCTAGTGACAAATGCTTACAGGCTGCCATCCTTCTTGTCCAGGAGGTAGAATTCGACTGGGGAGTCATGCTCACAGACCAACATGTCGGAGATGGACTTCGTGACGTCGCTCATGTCCATGTGTACAGGCTATGCTCAAGTCAGCCAAGTTTATCTTGTTGAATCTAGTTATCTTAGGGATACATACATTGCGAACAAATAGGCAGTACTTGTCCGTCATTGCGATAGCGTGGGTGTAGCAGGGCCTGCATGGGAGAGGAGCCTTCCAAACCATATAGGCCGGGTTGGCTGCCACATCCAAACAGAAGACATTAAGTTTACCGGTGGCCGAATCAATGATCCAGTTGAAGGTGAGCCCACGCTTGCGGTCGTGGACAGGATGGGCGCAACTACCGTATCCTTGGAGTTCTGGGTTGATATCTGCGTATGAGAGCAACCTCTTGGGCTCTAGGGTCTTCGCATCACAAATTTGAAACTGGACCCAGTCGTTGTGAACCAAAATCTACCATGGAATTTAGCTTGATCCTCAGATCCTCGGTCAACATTCATCACATACCTCATCCTTGAAAGGATCTTCTGCTTGTCCACCCCTTGAGTAAGGGTTCTTGTCCTTGGGAAGGTGCATACCACGACGTGGCTGGACGTTGCAGTTCATCGCATCAGGCTCTTCATAGCCATTGGGTACCCAAATGGCTTGCTATATGACGAATATAAGCTTTATGGTCATCTTCCGCATTTCTTCCATGTTTGCTTACCTGAGCTCCGAGCAAAGCGGAACATGGATCCTGTGCCTCGATGAGAGGAGTGTTTGGGTTGAGACCAAACCTAGTGGTAGAGAGATATCCTTGCTTCTTTGCTCGTCGAACAACACCATCATGAGTGTATCGACTGCGGTAGAAAACCTTACCATCGACCATGCGGAACTTGTGCAACAAGCCTAGACCGTCGAACAAGTGCTGGAAAACCGCTCGTGGCTTGGTGGGATCGTCTGAGACTGGGACGGTGAATCGACCAACGCCAATTCTGTGAACCTCCGGTTAGTGTATGACTGTATCATGAGCTCTACATGTACGTACCTCAGAAAAGAGCCGTGAACCCAGTCAGGCCAGGTTCCTCCAAGCTTACATTCGACCTCCTCTGGAGTTTCAGGGACATCACGAAGGTACGGAGGAAGATATTGGGTATCCTTCTCAGTGATGGTCTCCTATCGATACCCTCTGGGCATTCCCTCGGTACTCATTGTGTGAATTACTATGGTAGATGAGGTGCAGTCTGTACGGGATGATCGATGCTGAGATGGATTGGAGAGGTACTGAAGGCGTTGTTGATTGATTTAGGTTGTGGGGAGCAGTTACTTATATACATACATCTCGTCCACATAGATAATCCAAGTCGGCCGGCTGGTCAGCGGGCTGGTCAGCGGATGCTTGCCCGGTAGTCGAGATCCATGATGCTCAACTTCCGTTGGCATATGGTGGGACGTTTAACTTCCGTTGGCATATGGAGGGATGTCTAACTTCCGTTGGCATATTGAGAGCCGAGGGCCGACTCTTGCTAACCAAGCGAGCAGTCAAATGCGCCGAGCGAGCCTCTGGAGCTCGATTGCAATCAAGCTGGTTGCGCTCTCATAGTTGCTGGATATTCACCCACCATGATCAGCATGTCACATAGCCACAACAGGGATCATAACAGTGATTGAGGGCCACGTACGCCGTAAGCCAATCGAACAGGGGAGTATACTATGTAGGACATGTAACCTGGCATGTTTGAGCTACGTCAGAAAGCTTAGTTACAAAATGCAAAGTGTTCAGGAATTGCCATCTCTCGCTAGAGTGAGCCCACTGTACCAGTGTACTGCAAGATAGATACCTTTACCATGAAAGGCTAAATTTCAAGTCCCATAGTCGTTTTGATGGTTGGGCTGCTGTAGTCAACATGTAAGCCAGCATGCAAAGAGCGATTGCTCTTAGGTGTGATGACTTCGTGGGACTTCCTCAAGCGTATCATCAGAGGAAGTGTTTGGGTTCCAGTAGTCTGCGCATGGGGTCATACTTCTCGCTTACTGGTTCAGCCAATCGGAAGATGCCGTGAATTGCACTAATGCATGCTTAGCATTGGCCAATCTGTCCAGATGAAACGGCCCTTCCGACTTCTAATCAGCTCCTTCGAGTCGGGATGGGACCAGGGGTCTATCTAGAACACTCAGACTCTACCGGTACATGTTTTGCTACGGTTCGGATCTCAGGCATTCTTCCGGGTTGGATGAACATTAATTTCCGTTCTCCGGGGTACAAACCCAATCGGCGGTCAGTGGTTACAAACATGCTAGTAAGACGGTCTCTGTAGGTACATACTGTGTACTCTAGTAAGGCTTGGAACGCTGTCACTGGCCGATACGATTCATCGAAGATCATGATCGAAGCGGGAATTCTTCATGACTATGATACAGTTTCTTTCATACATAGGATATATACGCTACCTACATACCTGATTGCTGCGATGTCAACCGTGTAGGCGATGAGCCTAGGACGCACATCACCTCGGCTGGGCTTCTCAGCTTCCATTCTGATTCAGGTTTGAGGCATGGCACCAAAGGCAGTGAGAGAAGTTGAAGATCGATCCTTGTCCATGGTGAGGCGGTGAACTTGAGAGCCAAACCCGTTGAACACTGCCGTGTACATACTGTGTAGCATGCGGTTAACCCAATGTCCCAGGCACACCGCGCAGTTTGCATGCGGGCTGATGTGTACGCAATAGTGTGGTGGCATGTCATATGACCATGGGTTTAGCGTCGGGCGACTTGGGCTTTACTCCGAGTGGTTAGAATATCCCTGTAGGTTCAAGTCCACGTCACAGCGGCAAATTTTTATAGTTATATAAACTAGCCTATAGTTAAGTATAAATTAGGGTAATTTAAGCAAGTAAACGCAGTTTTTATTACTATCTTTTTTAAACATATTCTAAACCTGTTCTTAATAATATATAGGCGTTCCTAAATGCTATACTAGAGTTTAGTATAGCAGTACTAGATAATGTATCTAAACTAGATAGTAATATTAGAGATAAATTTGGGCAACTGTATAAAGTGCTAGAGGAGGATAGTAGCAGTAGCGTTAAGGAAGTAAGTGAAAGTAAATAGAACAAGTTTAGAATAGGTTAGTAACACGTTACAGGGGCACAATGTATACCTTACTTGTGGTAATAGTTAAGGACTACTACTTACACTAGCAATTATTAAGCATGCAGCTATTCTCCTAGTATACCCTTAATTATATAGCTAAGGGTATAGGTATATAATACTAGTTTAGCAATATAAAGATAGCTCTTACCTAATAAGAGAAGAGGTGCTTGTACAGGCTACACAGGTAACACGTTAAGAACACGTTCTTAAATTGTTCTAATTCTAGCAGGTATAATACTCCCGCTAGTCTGTCTATCTTAATAGGCCTATAACTTTACTATTCTTTAATAGCTAGCTAGCAAGCTAGTATAAATACTAATGCTCTAGGGTAAAAGCGTGTAAGTATCTTAAGAACACGTTACAAACATGTTCTTATTACGTTGTTAATAACGTATTGTATAATTAGATCTAAACCTTAAAAAGTGCAGTACCTAAGAAAATTCTATAAAGAGAACTACAAATAAGAAGCTATTATTATAGCCTTATTAAGCGCTTCTCTTTAAGGATTTGTAAGGACTACTAGGTGTCTTATTATCCTATAATAAGGACTATAGTAAATTAGGTAGGGAGCAAAACTTAAATATATTTAAAACGTGTTAATAATAAGTTAGTAAATTATAGAACAGGCTTAACTATATATTAGCTATTAGAACTATAGCCTAATATCTGCTACTAGGAAAAAACATTATTTTAGTTAGGTACTACTAGAGGTAGACTCTATATATCTACAAGGTCTTCTAACTAGGGAGATATTAAATCTTTCTAGTAGTCCTGCTTTATGTTCTATAGTTAAGCTATAGTTAAGCTAGATAAAGAAGTGTGGTAGGCATATTACAACCTATTCCTAACACGTTCCTAACATATTCTAGGCGTTAATTATCTATAAGGGTAAGGATCTCTGTTTAAAATCCTATATAAAGTTACCTTCTAAGTAATTATACTAATAGATATAGTAGTAATACCTTTTTTTACTATTATTTCTTTTAGTATATATATATATATACCTCCTCCTCCCTTAACACTATCTAATAGTAATATTAAGGAAGTAGTAAAGGTATTATAGCCTATACTTACTCTGTAGCTTACGTAATGTAAGTTGTTTGCAACCTATTATGAACGTGTTCCTAACTTGTTATAGCCTAGTTCCTAAACTTAACCTAGCTCTAAACCTATCTCTAACTTAAAGGTTTCTATTCTATTAAAGAAATACATATTAGCTTTACAAATAAAGATAAAATCTCGCGTATTATAAAGCGTGAAAAGCTTCTATAGTTCCTATTTAAGAGTAGCCTTAGAGGAGTACACTATAAGTAGAGGATAAAGCATTAGGATCCTAAAACTATACGTGGTGTAAGAGAACAGGTTTAGAACACGTTGCTAACACGTTACTACAGGCGTACATATAGCAAATCTTTATATTAAGCTTAGGTAACTTAATTATTTACCTTTTTAAAGAGTAGGCATTAATTCTATTAGATTAAGATATATTCTAGATAGATATATTATATAAGAGGTTATATAGGGTATAGGTAGAGATTCTAATAGTAATCTTCTACCTATAGGAAAAGAAGCGTACGTATTAAGAATAGGTTTATAATATATTTCTAACACGTTATAGTTATTACACTTAGCTAAATTATTATAGATAAGGATATAACTAAGATATATTAAGTTGCTATTACTAACTTCTTTTAGAAGTGTAAAGCACTTATAAAAAGATAAGTGTTATAGAGGTATATTTACTTATAGGGATTCTATAGGACTACTGTTAATATGTATAATAAGCAGATAATAGGCGAGTTTTATAGCGCACTATAACCTATTTGTAACGTGTTTCTAACTTGTTTCTAGGACTTAGGCGCTATCTCTAGTTAATTAATCCCTACAAGCGTGACTAGCGCTAGCAACTTTAATCTTGCATAAGATTTTGTTAAGTACATCTATAAAGAAGTATTCACAAAGTATATAAAAGAGAGCTAGATAATACTACCTCTTTACGTCTAAGTGAATTACTACAGGCATTAATAGTAGAGGAATACTTTTAGCTTACTAACCTCCTCTTACATAAGTAAACATATTCTAAACCTATTCTAAACGTGTTCCTAACTTGTTCTTATATAATTAGAATATAAACCCTCTAAAGATACCTAAAACTAGGTAATCTATAAGAAAAACCTGGTAATTGCTACTAGGATTGTGTAATACTGTAGTAAAATATTAAAAGAGGTATAGGAAAAACTAGAATCTTATTTAAATGTAGCTAAGCAAGCAGGCTAGAAAGGATATAAAACTAGTAAGCATGTAAGTATTCTTAAGGCCACTTAGAAGTAAGTTTATAACCTATTCTTAACCTATTAGAATTATATAAGTAATATTGTGTAGTGCACACTAGATAGATCTGCAGGATATAAAAGAGTTTAAAGCCTAGAGCAAGTTTAGAATACGCTATAACTATAGAACTCCTAATAGGCTTAAGTAAAGGTACCTTAAAAAGCTTTAGAGGGGAGAAAGTAAGTCTTACGCTAGCGTTATGCATATTTGCTAATTAAAACGTGTCTAGAACGTGTTTAGAACGTGTTCTATAATAATAATAATACTCTAAATAATAATAAAGCAAGTCTTGCTATATCTAACTTAACTAGATATATCTTAGTCCTAATAAGAAATAAAAGAGCACGCTTAAAAGCCTAAAGCTAGAGGGCAAGTAGTAGAGTAGTATTAGAAAGAAGTTCACTAGCCCCTTTTCTATCTTCTCTACTACTAGGCTCTTCTCCTCTACTAATAGTAACCTAAAGGTATGCTTTGCGAAACACATTTATAATATATTCCTAACTTGTTATTAGTTTATAACTACAAACTTTATAATAAAAGGCTCTTCTTAGTAATTAGGCTCTAAAGGAGAGAAAAGAAAAGCTAGAGGTAGATAAGAAAGAACTTACATAGAAAAAGGCACTATTTAAATTGCAAAAGGTATAGTTTAAACTTAAGAAAGAGATAGCTACTTTTTATATAAGGTAGGGTTAGTCTATAAATATAGTAACTAGTTCCTAACTAGTTTTTAATATATTCTAGTCTATCACGTAAGTATATATAAGTAGATAAATATATATTCTTTCTTCTTCTCTTTCTTCTTCTTTCTTCTTACACTCTATAAGAACTTTTTATATTTAAGAGTTTAATACTATTTTACTATCTATCTTTCCTAATATTATTAGATATAACTAGTTAATATAGTCTACAAAGATCTTTTAAAGTTAGTATATAATAGAACACGTTAGGAACACGTTGTAAACTTATTCTAATACTAAGTAGGATTTATACTAGTAATATATTAAGCTTAAGTTACTTCTATCTAATACTAGGGTATTCTCTCCTATAATATCCTACCTAAATAATAGGTGTATAGTATTTCCTAGCGAGCTTTTCTACTAGGCTATTTAGGCTAGATTAGGGGTATAGGAACTTTGTAGAGTATATATATATGTAAGTTAGAACATGTTTATAATATATTAATAACTATTTTAGCATTACTTCTCTAATAGAGGTAATCTTATCTACTACTTTAAGAGGTATTATCCTAAGGTTTAAATAGCCCTAGTAAACTATAGTAGAACTATAATATAAGGCATTGCAGAAGCAAGGATCTTCTATAGGAGCTTAATAGTAAATACTTAAGAATATGTTCTAAACACGTTAACAATACGTTCTCTACTAGTAGAGTAGACTACACTAAGTGCCTCCTCTAAGGTTTAAGAACCCTCTAAGATAGCTAGTCTATAATAAGAAGTGGTAGCTAGAGTAGAGGCTAAAGAGGAAGTAGAGAGTAAAGAAGAGCGATGTAAATAGTTGCTCCCCTTTACACTATAAATAATATTTAGCAAAAGTAGCAAAAAGGAGATATAAGTCTAGTCTCTTAAAATATATTTAGAATATATTAATAATATGTTATAGCTAGACACCTATAAATACTAGATTCTTCTTTAATCTAAGGGACTACTAGAGCTTTATAATACCTATAAAAGTAAAAAGAAAAAGTTATATACTATTAAAGGACCCTATAAAAGTAAATTATACTTTACTTTTAGTAGATAGAAAAAAAAAGAGAAGAGTAGAGAGTTTATTTTAGTAATTACTACTACCCCTTTAGGTTATATGCTATTATATATTATTTATTAGAACCTATTCTTAACATATTCTTAACGTGTTCCTACTTATTACTATTATTATCTCCCTCCCCCTCTCTAGTATCTTCTCTATCCTCCCTATCCTCCCTAGGCTCTATAAAAGTATACTATAAGTAGAACTAGGCGGTATTCTAGTAGGAATTAGCAAGGTCTACACTAGTATTAAAGTAATAGTCTTAAAACACGTTAGGAATAGGTTAATAATATATTATAAATAACTTACTATAGCTAGGATAATTATAAGTGTAGATAGTATAAGGAACCTAATAACCTTAAATCCTTAGTAGGGTAGATATAGTAATAAAGTTAAGCTATAACAAGTTAGTAATATATTTTTAATAGGTTCTTGCAGGCTATACCTTATTACTATTATAGCTAGTGTAAGTCTTCTTCTAAATTATATTTAGGAGGGTATTAGTATTTATAGGGGGGCCTATAGTAGCTACTAGCTAGGCTTAGAGAACTTCTATAAAATATATTAGTAATAAGTTTTAAACATGTTCTAAATAACTTATAGCAAGGAGTATTCTAGTAATTATATATAACCTTTATATAGAAGTCTATATATATTAGTATAACAAGTTAAGAATAGGTTAATAATATATTTACTCTTTACCTTGTAGACCTCTATTATAGAGGGCTAGCTAGTCTTCTTAACCCTACTAATCTTATAGTAGGCTATATTAAGCCTATAATCTTTTTTAACATAGGTATATAGAGTGCCCCTAGTACCTAGAATAGCCTAAGAATATTAGAACCTATTTAGAACACGTTTAGAACCTATTCTTACTCTACATAAGGTGCCCTTATTATTAATCTTAGTATAGTAGTAGCGCTCTCTACTCTCTATCTTAACTACCCTATTAGGGCTAACTATAGGCTATGCCCTAATATTATCTAGGATATAGCTAAGGGTAAGGTACTATTAATAGTGCTTCTATAACCTATTAAGAACACGTTCTAAACACGTTTTAATCTACTTATATAGGATATAAGGGATACGTTAGTAATAGGTATAGTAGTAGTAGCTTATAGTATTACTAGTATAGAATATATTTAGAATAGGTTTAGAACGCGTTATAAAATCTTATAGCATAATATTTAGTTAACCTTGCTTAGCTAGCTAGTAGAGCTTGGCATAGCCTAACCCTATGCTAAATACGAGTTCACGCAGCGCTAATTCTATGGTTATATGAACTGCGCCCTCCGCAATAGTTACTGCTGAATCCTTGTTGCTTTTCCTTAGGTTAGGCCCACCATACGGTTGGTGCCTTTGGGCACAGCATAACTGCGATGCACACACAAGTAGGACCGTATGCGATCTTAGGCAACCACGATTTTGCTTAGACAAAGGCCCGAATGTTTCCAACTAATTGCACACCTTTGACTTTTGCGCACCTTTGTCATTCGCTTTTGTATACCGTACCTGCAATCGGTCGAACCTGCTGGTACTTACATAGTTAACAATTGGTTAGCGTAAACCTGACTCCAAACTCCGTCCTATACGGCGCAAATATCATGAGTGAGCGCCGAAAGGCAAACTCCACACATACTCACGTGGTGCCAGCTGTTCCGGCACCTACTTGTGTGAGCACGTATGTAATGCTTACTCATTGCACCCATCAATGGGATATTATGCCGTAGGCATAAAGCCAACGCTTCATGTCTCATCAATACAATAAAGCCCCACCCAAGGACCATATATGAATATTGCGCGGTAACAATCTCACTCTCTACTTTGGCCACCATCATGGCACCAGTCACCGGAGCTTCCTCCCCAATTGAGCACCTTAGCATTCCGAACTTTACCTTCCACAACGGCACCACTCTCCCGGAGGTGCGGGTGGCCTATACCGTTCACAATCCCCAAAACACAAAAGTTGCCGTTGTGCACACATGCTTTCGAGGCCGAATCGCCAGTACATTGACGCACGCAACAGGAGTCTTGAAAGATCACAAAATCATCGTCATTGCCCTATTCGGCAACGGTGAATCTTCAAGCCCGTCAAACATGCCCAACTTTCCTGATGATGTCGAATACACGGACTGCGTAAATGCTCAGTATCAGTTACTGAATGCCTTGGACGTCAAGGAAGTAGATGTCATGATGGGCTTCTCCATGGGCGGTCAGATGACTTATCATTGGCTTGTCAAACACCCATTGTACATTAAAAATGCAGTGGTTATATGTTCTGCGGCTAAGACGAGCCCACACAACTATCAGTTCCTTGAGGGTCCAAAGTCAGCTTTACTTGCTGCAGCCACTCCTGAGGCAGGCCAGCGAGCATTCGTAAAAGGCTCTTCTGCTTAGGTCACCAGCCCACAGTGGTTCGAGCAAGAGTTGTATAAGAATCTGGGCGCTGAAACTCAAGCGGAGTGGGACGATGTCGCTGCTGGAGGAAACTATAATGATTGGGCCGCAGGCGACCTGCTTGCGTTGTATGGCATGTGGCAGCGTGGGGACGTTACGCGATGCCTCTCAGACGCCGAATCGGACAGGAGCCTTGAACATGCGTTGAAGACCATCGAGGCCAGAGTCCTATTAATGCCATGCGTACACGATCAGTACTTCAAGTCTTATGTGAGCGAACGAGAGGCGCAACAACTTCGCAAGGCGCACCTGGACGTCTTTGACAGTGTTTGGGGTCACCTCGCTGGCAGTGGAGCGAGCGCCACAGACACAGTGTGGATGAGCGAAAGAATTGGGAAATTTCTGGCAAGCAGCTGAACGAATTTTCGATTTTGGCTTCGAAGATAGGGAAAAGAGCCATATAAGAGTGCAGAAGATGCATAGTCGGAAGTTCGATCCCGGGGAGCTCTGCAGATGTGGAACTCTGATCGGTGCTTTGTTACCTACCCTTTAGCAGCAATGGTAAATTCAATCAGCTATGCGTAACCGTGCATCTATCACTGACCTCCATTTACCACGCTCTGGGTAATGTTGAAGTCGCCGTTGTTGCATGATATGTAAGCATAGAGAACGGAGAGAGCCAAATCGCATCAGTCATCCATACCAGTGTTTCTTCGGTACTAATTGAATGTGTTGATGGCATTTATGTAGCGAGCTTAGCGATCCCGTAGGAATGAACGGGCGATGCTGAATGCAGGGTAACGGCTAATGACACGCTGGTCAAACGTTCACTCGGGGTATCACAGTATTCAGAATGTAGATTCCCGTCTACGCCAGATCATCAAGATCCCACTCACACCGAGCGAACTATTGTATTTTGCATAGCGCGCCTGTTCATGGCTCCCATCAAACGCTCCAATTGCGTCGTGGGAGTGGAGAAATGCGGGACTAGGCGCCATTAGCTTAGTTACACCAACTGTGTGTTATTCGTGTTCACAACGGTCAAAGATCATATCTGAAAAAGTGACAAGGCCTCTCCGATGCGAAGGTGGTCGGAACCAGTTCGGGTTCAAAGGTGAGCAGAGCAGCGTGCTAAGCGCCTGATGTTCTTCTCAGTGATGAAAGGAAGACTTGATGAGTCAAACGGCCTGCGATTGCTTTCAGCAACCGTGCGAGGAACATGAGAACAAAATACACAATTGCTAATAGGGTGCATGAAGTGCGGGGAAGAGAAATCCATGGGGTCCAGGGACAAGCACAAGTCTGTCTCAGTACGAGAGAACAAAAATATCGCTGGGTTCCATGCTTTAGACGATACCTAGACTCATTGTAAATCAATAATCGGATCAACGGACGGTCACAGTGCCTACCTTAGCCAATTCAGCAGCTTATGCAACGATAATCGTTGTTGTTGGAGAGTGTGCGTGATCAGAATGCGCTGTCTGAAACCGAGGATTGTGGATCAAGCAACCTACACGAAGCCCTTGTTCTTCATAGTATTGAGCCAAGCGGTCAAGGCATTGCAGTTTTCAAAGGTGTAGACAGTGTGAGCCGAATCTTACGGAGCACGTAAGGATTTAGCAATCAACTTCCATATCCTGTACGAAGGAAAATTATGCTCTCCCTCCGCAGTTGGAACACTATTGTGGATGCAATTTTCCCAGGCATTTCATCACTCACCCCACAGACCGGCTATGAGATTGCCACTCACATGGCACCTTGGTTATAATGCTGTTCGTACATAGTGGATTAGTTGTCAGTGGAGGGAACGTTTCATGAGTTAATCGTCCAATTCAGGGGAGTAACAATCGAACACATGATTTCGAACACTGTGCAATGTCTAAGCTCCAGTCGGCTACTTCTGTAGCGTTTCACGCCTGTCAAAGCAGCCAACAGTATATTTCGAACATCTCATGGCCATCGATCATGACCCCGATCCTTCAACATAATGCTGCCATCACACGGACAGAAAGGAGCAAACCACATCTCCAAATCCTATTCATCGTACCACATCATACCATACTATGCGAAAAACCGTCTTGCCTTCACTGCTCTCCATAAAAGCGCAGCTCGAACCTACGGTGAGGCTTCAAACCTCTCTCTCCATACATTCCAGACTCTCAGCGTGGGTACATCTCGCCTCTTCGCTTGTCTGACCGTAACGGCTCTAGGTCTCAATACAAATCCTTACTCGGTGCTTAGGACGTCCACGTCTCGAATGCATTTCCGCGCCTATAAGCGGTTGGATGAGACGACAAGGAGTTAATGGCGCCAGTCGGTGGAGTATGTACCATGCACGTACAGTACTTCGGCACTCATGCCGCGCACCACTCGTCGGCCCTTTCTATAGCGTCGGTAGCGGCCAACACATCAGCCAGCCGCGATCCAACGTTTAACCAGCATAAAGTGGGAAGTGCTAATTGTCCTCGCCACAATAGACTAATCGTCCTCGCCCTTACCACTTAGCGCCGGGTACCCCGGCCGCCTAGCAAATTAGTAGCAAGCCAAGGTAGCACTAACTATATCGTGCTTTTAAAACGTATTAGATAGAAAATATCTAGTAAGGAAAAATTCTAGGTGTACGTGTAAAGTGGACTAGCGGTAAAAAAATAAGTAGTAGTAAGGCTGTTTAACCTAATATATAAATATTGTGTAGCAATAGGATCCTACTAAAACACGCCTAAATATCTAATTTCTTGTCGCTTAAATATATCGCCCCTAACCTAACTAATATTACCTACTACTATAGAGTTAGCAGGCTCTGTTAAGCCTATAGAGCTACTATTACCTACTACCTTAGAGGACTTACTAGAGTCCTCTACTAAGGATTCTAATATTAAGGAGCCTAATCTATCTTACTAATATAAGCAGGAAGATAAGGAGTCTAATTTAGAAGTCCTATTAGATACTAAGCCTAAATCTAAGTTAGAATCTAAGCTAGACGTTCTAGTTAAAGCTGTAGTTATTTAGCCTAGCCCTTAACAAGGCCCTTGCCTACGCCGCGAGTAATACTAGCCTTGCTAGATTAAGTATAGAGTACTGCGTAGTAAGGTTAGTAAAGGAGTCTATAATCTTACTAACCTCTAGGAGCTATTAAATTACAAGCGTAACTATCTCCTGCTACTAGAAGCTATATATAATAGCTTTAATAAGGCTATCTAAGCTATAAATAAGTAGGTAAAGTCCTATAGGGTAGCCTATAATAAGTAGTAGTAGTAGAAGAAGGGGCGTTATTAGCTTCTTATAGTGTGTAATTAGCAAGGAGGCAAGCCTAAGGTAGGCGTAGTAAGGGTTTAGGTAAGGGTAGGCGCTAGCACTACGTAGTGTAACTATAAAATAAAGTTTTAGATTATAGCAGATAACTATTAGGATCTTAGTAATTAGTGGCAAGTTAAATAGGCAGAGAATAAGCTAAGTATTACCTATAATTACCTACTAGTTTCTAACCTATATATAATAGCGCGGTACTAATAGGTAACGCGTTTAGCTAAAATAGGTGCTAAACTCTAGAGCGTGTTTAAGATAGCGCGCGGTTCTAAACAAGCGCTTCTATTAATGTAGGAAAGGTATCCTAACGCGTATTTTTTGCGCAAAGATATTTAGAACAAGTATTACAAGTTCTAGGTAGCTAGAATAAGTAGCTAGACGCGGGTAGAGGCGTTAGTAGAGGAGATAGATAAGGGAAACTATTAGTATTAGTAAGTGGTATTTTAATATTTCTTATAGTGTTGCGATCTATAAAAAATATTTCCCCCTAAGCTAGGCTTCTTTAGGGACACACTAGTCTTACTAAGGTTAGACTGCGTCTGTGCTTTAGAATTTCTGCCGCTAATTTAGAACACTAAAACTTTTAGTTATAGTATTAACGCGGATAGCCATATTACCTCTATTATATTTTTCTATCCTAACTCTATTTAGCTATTCTAGGAGTTGCCTAATATCCTTCTTATTAACTGCACCTTTAAGACAAACAAATACTGCTTTCCTCTTGTTAATTTCGTTAGCTTAGGTAGTAATAACAAGATAATCTAGCTTAGGGTGGTGATAATCCACAACTAAGATAAGGCCACATTCTTATAGGTGCTCTAAAACCTCTACAAGCTCCTTAACTCCTATAGTATTATAGTATAATTTTAGGCTATTAATTATAATCTAGCATTTCTAAATGCGTTAGATTAGGTATTTAACACGCCTAGAGTTATTATCTACTGCTAGCATATAAATAAGGACGTTCTATTGTATCTATAGTTAAAAGTTTTAGTAGAGTTTAGGCAGCGTTACAAGGGTCGCACCTAGGTTAATAATAATAGCACCACTAAATATTTGCAGCTATACTACAACCTTATTGCCTTACCTACTAAAGCTAACTATTTAGCTAATCTACTATTATACAAGCGAAGATCTGCTACTGCAACTACCTACCTCTAGTAGTATTAGCTTAATAACTACTCTACTAAGATCGTAAGTTATTATATTAATAAGCACCCTTATTTCTAGCTTACTATAACAAGCAAAGTTAAGAGAGCGCACCACGTTATTAAGGAGTAGCTACAAGGTAGTTAAGCTAACCTCCTTACGCTGTTTTAAAGGCTCCGCCCGTTCTATAAGGAGCACGTAAAGCATATAAGGTTAATAAATAGTATTAAGAACTTCTAGCTTTAATTTAACTATCGTAACCTAATATTTTTAGTAGTATTTAGGCGTATAACCTAGTATACGCTTATAATAACAGTAAATAACCTAGCTTACACGCGCACTAAGCTGCGCAAGTAGCAGCTTAATAGTACCTATAAGTTCTCGCGGTGTACTAACTAATATAGTAGGACGCTTAGTATACTATATTAGTATTTTCTAGTAGATCTAGAGCTTTATTTAAAGGTACTACAGGCGGCAGATTACTACCTATATTAGTAGGTTAATTGTAGCTAGGCTCCTTACCTTAAAGTCGCTGCTACTCCTTATAAGCCGCAGACAATTATTACTAAACTACACGCCAAAAAATCTTACTATAAGGGCGCGGGCTAGTCTAGCAACTAGCGCAACCCTACTTTAGCTAAGTAGATTAATAATAACTACCTAGCCTTACTACCTACTACAATACTAGCTTATATAAGGTAATAGCAGCCTACTAAGCACGTATATATTGTCCCTCGCCTACCCTAATTGTAGCCCTAACCTCCACCTATACCACAACCCTTACCCCGCCTACTGTAGCTACCCTACCCGTAGCAGGTAATTCACCTAGCTCCTTATCCTTACTAGGCTCTAATAGCTTAACTATAGCCCTTGCTGTAGTTAGCTATACAGTAGTACTATTACTAGCCTTAATATTAGTAGTTAGGTTAATATATTAACCTACCTACTAGTTATAACTACTAAAATTAGCTCCTAGGTAGGCAATTTAGTAATCTAATAGGCGGGCGGGCAGGCAGGTAATAGGCCTACCTATAGTCGCTAGTATCCTAATATATTAAGCACCCGTCACTAGCTTAACTACTTGCTCTATAGCAACTAGCTTGTACGCTAAATCCCTATACTATTGCTAGTACTTTACTAGAGCTAGAGTACTATAGTAGCTTATAGCTAACCTAGGCGTTGTATTACGTGTCGCGAACTTTTAAGTATAAGGGCTAAAATATAGCTATATAGTTAATATAATCACGTGGTATATCCTTTACTCCTACCCTAGGTTTACTAGCGAAAGCTGCAACTTTACCGCTAGCGACAGCCGCAAAGCAAATTGGGTAGGTATTGTATCTCCTTGTATTATAGAAAATTACATACAACGCCAAGACAGAGTACTTAGGCGATTACCCCTTAGCGCTTCCCTATTAGGAAGGGCGAGGACGATTAGTCTATTGTGGCGAGGACAATTAGCACTTCCCGCATAAAGTTGTCTGTTTTCCCAGGGTCCCAGGACCTAAGTAGCGGATACGATGTGGATGCAGGACAGTTTCTCTTGGAAGGACCGAAAGGGCCGATTGGCTGGATAGATATTGAAGCTAAGGGGTGTGTAAAACAGCAGAAATCATTCAATACTGTAAGTATGGTAGAGCTGATAGGTATAGTCTAGGGAAGTGCTAATTGTCCTCGCTATAATAGACTAATCGTCCTCGCCCTTACTACTAAGTTAGGGATAGTGTTAGGTACCTCGGACGCCCAGGAAATTAGTAGTAAACTAACGTAGTATTAACTATATTTGTAACGACGCAGGTAGGTAGGGCATCCAAAAGGTATCTAATACGACTTAAAGGCATATAGGAGTGCGCGTCTGTATAGAAAAGGATGTGATTCCTACACCAATAGGTCTCATACAAAAGTACAAGAAGAACTTGTCTATCTATCTATAAGTATATGTAACAATAAGGCAGAATTGCTCGCCTATTGTTCTATGCCAAGTCAGGCCTAATAAAGGCCTAACTTACTAATATATATAGAGAGCAGCTCACCTATAATTAGGATAGGTATATTCTTCTTATCCTTTTATACAAGACCTATAGGTGTAAGAATCTTATCCTTTTCTATATAGACGCGCACTCCTATATACCCTTAAGTTATATAGGATACCTTTTAGATACCCTACCTACCTAAGTTATTATATTATAAGAAGAATATTATCCTAGCTAGTAATAGTATTTAAGAATATTATATTTATTATTATTTTAAGCTACTAATTTAGTTCTAGTAGTAGTCTAACCCTATAACTCTATAGTTAGAATAGCTATTAGAACTTCTATTAACTAAAGCCTATAGGCTTAGACTTCTAGACTACTAGGTAGTGCTATATTACCTTTAGAAAAATCGCGTTAGATTACGTTAAGGTAGAGACTTAGAGACTACTAAAAGCCTAGAGGAATTAGAGGCAAAGCTAATATCCTTTTATAACTAACCCCCTAAAGAAAAGACTTATTATTCTTATTAACTACTAAAATATTAGATAAAGGTAAAGGAAGGGTATCTAGTTTAGCTACCTTTAAAAGCTATTTACTAATAGAAAGAAATTAGATAAGGAGGACTTAATTAATAAAGCCCTCCTAGAAGAACCTACTTCCTACCTATCTCTTAAGGTACCTTATACTTATAGGAAATCTTAAAGTAATACCTCCCTTAAAGATATATATATATTAACTATATCTAAAAAGGAGAGGTTAAAGAAATAAGTAAAGTAACTTACTAATTAGTTATATAATACCTCTGTCTAT